CGAAAGAGAAAATGTATCAAAGCTGCTAAAGTTGGGCCTGATCTTGGCGGATCAACTGAACTCCATCGGGTTAATGTAAGTTTGACTATCCTCCTCTTGGTTTGACCGTCGGAGGTGACACTTTTACGTAAATTATATAGTAATTTGTTCGAGGCCTTGTTCGAGACATTCAAGGTAGTTCCATCTGAAAAAAAAAAAACCCGCATATTAGCTCTTGTCCTCAAGCGGTTTAAAAATTAGACTGATATGCTTTAGTTGTACTTGAAATGAAGAAAGACTATTAAAGTAGAGGAATGAGGCCATTTATGGTTAGTACACAACGGTTTCCATCGGAAGCTTGTATACTTCTGTTTCCATTTATTTGAGTGATCTCGCAACATTAAAACACGCTACACCACCACAAAGTAACCTGATCCGCAATTTTTGCTCATCTCTTAGTTTAAATGAAACAGAGAAAGTTAATAAGTCCGTTGTATTTGTGAATTTACCTTAATCAGGGCAAGCTTACGATTTGTTCTGAATGTTGGTAGAATTAACGCCATTTCGTACGGGAATGCAGAACAAGTCAAACTTACGACCACAAAATTAATGCAAAACAAAGAGAAGAATAAAAACTCAGAACTCTGAAATGATAACAATGAATACCCCCTGCATCTTGAACGGAAACCAAGTTCAATTTACTGTTTGTCGATCGACTGATGCGACATGATGCGGGATGGCCGTATAAATGTTTGGTGAAATCGACAGCATTTCAGCGAGGATTCGATCATGAACATGCCACACCTTCAACTAGAAAATTAAGGGAAAATGAAAAGGAGAATAAAAACTCTACATTTTAAAATGGTTACAATGTATAGCTTGTGCTTCGTGAGACAAAATTGCCACTCTTCTGATCGATCGACTGACGCAACGTGATGTGTTGCACGCGTTGATGTTTTGAGGGAGACTTGTAACGAGTAATGGTGGTCGAATACGCGACCATGCGATAAAACGAGTTTTAGTCGGTCTAATTCCTTTGAAATTACATCCAAAATGCTTTTGGAAGAAGGGAAACCTGGTTAAGATCAAAAGGAACAATCTTAAGTGATATATTTCAAGTTATTTATGTCCTAAAAATGATCTACCAGGTCGGTAAGAAGCAATGTTCGAACTCAGGTCGAAAACGAAATGATATTGACCCCTTGGAAAGTGATTTTATGGTCCAACCCCCCTCCCTTCTGGAATTTCCCGGGCCTCTGACCCCCCCACCCCCCTGGAATTTCCAATTCCCTCCGTGGTGGGGTTCTGGATATTTTCTNGGTCTAATTCCTTTGAAATTACATCCAAAATGCTTTTGGAAGAAGGGAAACCTGGTTAAGATCAAAAGGAACAATCTTAAGTGATATATTTCAAGTTATTTATGTCCTAAAAATGATCTACCAGGTCGGTAAGAAGCAATGTTCGAACTCAGGTCGAAAACGAAATGATATTGACCCCTTGGAAAGTGATTTTATGGTCCAACCCCCCTCCCTTCTGGAATTTCCCGGGCCTCTGACCCCCCCACCCCCCTGGAATTTCCAATTCCCTCCGTGGTGGGGTTCTGGATATTTTCTGGAACCACACATTGGTGTTAAGTGAAGATCACGACAAAACACAAGTAATAGCCCTATCAGGTTTGTCACACATGAGTGTTTTGCCGTCCTCTTCTTCCTGCCATCCTGTTGCGTAAACTCACTGTTATTATGAGGAGGTTGAGAAACCGAGGGTCTGAGTAACCACGTGACATGGCGGCCATGTTGGTGGTCAAAACAATAAAAGTTATTGCCAAAAATTTCCATGAAAATGGAGTTTAGTTCCCAGAGGATAGAGATACAATAATTAATGCGATTCTACTGTAATAATATTATTTATACACTAAGATATACATTATTTAACTCTGATTGGCTAAGAGGTGTGTTTGCATGTGAGTTTGTAAGGTGAGGGTAAATGGCAGAATAATATTTTATTTTGCGGAGTGGCATGACTTGCAGAATAGCATAATTTTTTGAAATGTAACATGTACAGAACTGGACTCAAAGTAACTGGTATATAAATACAGGATGTCCCAAAAGTTCATTCCTCTATTTTGTAAGACTGTCTATAGTACAGTGTAACTTACGATTATACTCGTGAAACTAATCATTTATGCAAAAGTTGTTTATAATCAGCCTGATAAAGTGTCATAAATTTTTTGCGCCATCTTTTTATTGGAATATTCAATTTGCGCCAAAGGTGCGCACGTGCATTTATATTTTTCCGCCAAATATTTGTCGTATTTTGTGTCCTGAATTGCTCACAATCTTTCCTCGGTTTTGTGAATATCATGAAAGATGCACCCTGTTAATGCTAAAAAGCTCAGCTACTTGAGAGCCCAAGCATTTATACTTAGATCTACTGGCTTGTCAGTTAAAGAAATTTCCAAAAAGCTGAAAAATCTGAACGTTGGGTAGTGAAATGATTGTCAAGAAATGATGGGTTTGAAGACAAGAAAAGATTGGGAAGAGCGAAAATCCTTAATGAGGCAGCTAAAAAATTCTGAACAAAGCTAAAGTACTAAAGGGAATCTCCACCAGACAGCTCTCACAACAATTAGCAAGCAAAGGCCATGTTGGGGGGAAAAACACCATCTGGAGGTTTATGAAAAGGAAAGGTTGGAGACCGCTGAGAAGGCAAAAGAAACCTCTACTCACAGCCAAGCAGTGTAGTTTGACTGAAATTTGCTAAGCGGTACAAAAACCTTTCAAAACTTTTGAAACAAACCCAATTCTTTTAATCAAAAAACACATAGATCAGTAAATACCAAGCACTTTACTGGCAGGGAATCACTTGTTATTTGAGGACAGCCACTGCACAACGTTCCTTTCACTATCGGTCTATCAACACTTGGAACTCGCTAAGCACAAGCACAAAAAATAGCAAAACGCTCACTAGCTTTAAGCGCGGTCCAAAATTGAAGCTATCTCACACCGAGACCTAGGTGACTGATTGCATGACTAAAACAGTTTTTAAATGTCATAGTTAGAGCATTTTTAAGTCAATAATAAGTATACGGATATGTATATAATTATAGTATATATGATATATTATTGTAGCTATTTCTTAATTTAATTTTATTCCTATTTTTCCATTTATTATTAACAATTAGATTTGTAAATTAGTCTTTTTCTCCTTCGTCTTTCTTTGTCTTTCTATTTCCTTTGAAACTCCAATACACTGCACTGTAGTCAAGCCTTTGCTAATAAAGGATCCCACCCCTAAGCATACACTTATGTCCACAGTCAATAACGCTAACACTGCGCTTTTGATATTGAACTTTTCTACTGGAAATCTCCTCTCCTAAGTGAAGCTTTTTCTTGGTCCCAGTGTGCCACTAATAAACACTTCATTTTTAATTGAGCTTTGTGAAGTGGTTGTCTCTCCTAAGCCAACACTAACTATTCATTGACCCAGGCACTTATAAACACTTCACATCGAGCTTTGTGAAGCAGACACCTCAATCTTCCAGGTGAACACTTTTTCTTGATAACAGCAGTGTCCACTTAAAGGTTTGACTCTATGATAAATAAAGTAGCTGTGATGGTAACTAATTTATTGATCAATTTGTTTTTTTGTGTAACTGTGTTTCCAATGTGGTGATCTTATAAATAATATTTACACTTTTAAAGGAAATCTTTAACCAAGTCTCAATGGCGCAGCATCAAGACCTCAAAAGAAAAGGAGGTGCTGATCCTGATCATCAAACAGCAAGAGAACATGATGCTCAACCTCCTCCTCTCAGTATTGAAGTAACTAAAATGAGAGATCTTCCAAACAAGTCAAAACCATGGAGTGATGTCCAGCTCCCTGTTGACATTCTCTTGTTGGCAGTGGAAGACTGCGAGTTCTTGGCTTGTTATACATACTTGACAAATGCTTTTAAAAGTTATCATGTGAAACTTGGACATGTATACTTTGGCACGATGGGTGAAAGTGGAGAGGAGTCACTGAAAGTTGCTTTGATGAGATGTTCTAAAGGTTCTTCTGGTCCAAGTGGTTCTTTAGTTACCATCAAAAATGCAGTGGTGCAACTGAGACCCAAAGCTGTGTTTTCTGTTGGCTGCTGCATTGGTTTAAACCAGAAAGGCACCAACTTAGGAGATGTGGTTGTATCCTCTACACTAACAACTGATGAATTCACAGCCCCTGTAAGAAGGAATATTGCCAACCTGATCAGATTTTCAACTGAAGGATGGAATCCTCCATTAAAAGATCCAGCAGCTGAAGAACAAGTACAGGTACACCGTGACAGCAGCATATTGAGTGGTATTAATGAGCCAGCCATTGCCAAACAATGCCGTAAGTCAGAGTCTCATATGGTTGCTTCTGAAAGGGAAGGAGAAGGTAAGATTTTGTTTAAATCACTNGGTTTAAACCAGAAAGGCACCAACTTAGGAGATGTGGTTGTATCCTCTACACTAACAACTGATGAATTCACAGCCCCTGTAAGAAGGAATATTGCCAACCTGATCAGATTTTCAACTGAAGGATGGAATCCTCCATTAAAAGATCCAGCAGCTGAAGAACAAGTACAGGTACACCGTGACAGCAGCATATTGAGTGGTATTAATGAGCCAGCCATTGCCAAACAATGCCGTAAGTCAGAGTCTCATATGGTTGCTTCTGAAAGGGAAGGAGAAGGTAAGATTTTGTTTAAATCACTGATTTTGGAACAGTTATAATTTTAGGTATATGCAGTGTCTGGAAATTGAATTTTACTAAGTTGCATGACAATAGTGATCCAACAAAAGCCTGACCATGGTACCACAGTTTGTCATTGGTACAGTGTAACTGCATGTTTGAATGTATTAATTTAGCTGTGTTGTTGTTGTGATGTGTGACTGCAGGTGTATGACAGAACTTTAGATCACATTTATTGCCACACTGTGTCAACCATGTCTGACCATCATGTTGTTTTCATGGCTACAACTATTCAGTTATTTCACTTACTTTTAACAGTAAATGTTCGTGTTGAATAACTAAGAAATTAAGTTAAAATAAAGTTGATGCTTTGTGTTTGTCAGGTTCAACCACCCTAATCTGAGATCAGGCTCAATTTTCGTTTCACTTTGTAAATATTAACATTCCGGTGCGCATTAGGCGAAACAAAAAGAGAGCCTGATACAAACCTTTTACAAAACAGCTGCTGCCCACTTTTTTGACTGATTGACACTTGCCGACTCAGCCAACCAAAATTACTTCCGTTGCTTGTTTTTTTTAGTATGCAAATTTTCCATACGTGGGAAAGATGCAGACTCGCTGATTTAAAAAATAGCTTTTATCTTTTAATTTTTTCAACTAAAACTAAAACAGTCACTACAATCACATTTACCTTCTTGCAAGATTAAAGGAGATCTCGAAGGTTATTTCTGTTGGCGTAGAAGGTAAAAAGTTTTTTTAAAGACGGCGACACTAGATGTTATATAGTTTTAACATTTTGGCCGGGCACACTCGAATTTAAAATACTGAAATTTCTTTTTTCCTGTTGCCTTTATATTTTCCTTGATTTTCAGTACATAAATCTTTAAAACTCGTGGAGAAATATATCGCAAACTTTTTCAAAGGATAAATAAATTATCTCAGAACAGCAAGTTCTCAAGTGCATTTAATTTAGCCGATTTATTCCCGTGGGTACACTTGCAATTTGTGAATTTACTAGAGAAACAAATGTCTAAAAAAATATATTTTTTTATAAATCCATTTAAATATTATCACTTTGGAAAGACAAAACGACACTACTAAAACTGCATGCTCAACTGACCTATAAACAAAGTGAAAAACAATAGTACAAACACACTTTGAAGTTCTCCTTTAATTAGTTGGGTTGTTGTTTTACTGCAGGTCTGAAAAGCTCGCTAAATTTATGTATCGAAATTAACAAACAGCAAAAACAGCCAACGAGCGAGGACACCAGTTTCCCTGGCTTATTTTTTACAAAAAGCGAAGGCAAACAACAAGCCTGAGCGCCACTAGCTTTTATGATAAAGCCTACAAAAATTCCTTGAACAGGAATGCAATATTTTTTGTCTAATACGTACTTCATAGTTGGCAATTGAGGTTTCTTTCGCAATGAGCCTCCACTTCCGTACCCCGTCCAGAGAAGTCATTCCCAGCTAAACTTTCAAATGAAACAAGTTTTAAGATGGACAGTATTTTGATTTGCACTCATTTGTTAGTAAATCAAAAGGCACCTTGTTCGCGGTCAGCAACTTGCAGAGGGATTCATCTCTGCAATACACTCACATTAGTTCCGCAAATAAAGCAAATCCTGAGAAGATATGAACAACCACCTGTTTTTTCGGAATTTCCATGGCACGTAGGGCATATTTTTCTATCATAAGACCATAAAACAGTAAAAAAGACAGCAAAATTGATCCTTCTCCCTGCCGACGGCAGATAATCCACAAAAACAACCATGCCAGGAATAAGTGCTTTCAACTTCTAGTGATTCCAACAGCTAATCAGATCTTGTGGCATTGTTCTAACAGCCAGTCAGTGTTGCGGCCAAAAACTGGCTGCAGCGAGCACAAACTTGTGAGAGTTTGTATCAGGCCTCTCTCCTCCCCAGAGGCCTCTTTGTGTTGTGGGGGGGGGGGGGGGGGGACCCCCCCCGTGCCCCACCTTCTCCCCCCCCCCCCCCCTCCTCTTTTTCCCCTCTCCCCTTTCCCCCCCCCCCCCCCCCCCGTGCTTTTTATTGTTTTGATTATTGCTATTTTTATAGAGATACCCAGTGGGAGCCTCTCCCGAGGAGAGAGGTATCAGGCCCAACTTTTAGCGGTAGCCATTAGAGACAATGTATAAGAACTGCTAAAATTGGGACTGATCTCAGGTTACAACCACCCTCACCTTTGTATGACTGGTTTATATTTTTACTTTTTATTGATAGGACTGTTTGCTGCAGCACATGATTTGAACCTTGAATGGGTGATTGTTAAAGGGATATCACATTTTTCTGATGATAGCAACAATCCCAATGAGTCCTGGAAGTCATTTGCTTCCATCATGGCAGCTTCTCTTGTGTCCAACATGTTAAGTGATCCAGTTGTTTTTAAAGAATGGCCTCACTATGAAGGTATGTAACCTCCTTTTTCCGCTGTTTGTTTGTTAATAGTGAATTTTCTGCTCAGATATATTTATTTATCTATACAGAAAAAAAAGTTGCAGTTTTTGTTAAAAAGGTTATAACATTTAACATTGACTACCAGAAATTTCTACAATACTATAGAAGATGCTGTTTTATAGTTCTTTAACACTGCTAGCCTCCACTTCCCCTTCACTCTCTGAGGAAGTTAAAGTTGACTGTAAGAGTAGTAACGGTAGTTACCTGCCTTACAATATCTGAGGCATTTAAATTATTTTGAGAAAAATTATAAATAAATCCTTCAAATTACCTGATCCTAGTGCCTGAAAAACTGCTAGAAGATAAAAAAGATGCACCATGTTATTAACTGACAAGAAGATAAAAAAATTAAAGAACAGGACAGTTAAACTCTTTTGTTTTCTTTGTAGATGTGTCAGCAAACAAGGATTCCTCAACCTTACCAGGTACTACTCTGTCCAAGTAAAGTTATGAGTACTCAGTCCAAGTAAAGTTATGACGAATTCTAGCAAACTGAAGTAGTTATTTGTTAATACTGGTTTTAGTACAACCACCTCTTTTCATATTTGCAGTCTGTACAATAGTAACAATTAATTCTCTTACTTTTGTTGAGAAGTAATGACCAGTATATTTGAAGCCTTTCACCTCTCGTCTTCCCTTTTAAATCTTTTAATAGTATCTGAATGTCACTCGATCCTTTTAATTACCTTAAAAACAACTTGACTCCTTTCTTGAATCTCAAATCTAACCCCTCCACAACAAGGAAAGGAAATTGAGTAATTTTTTATTTTCAGTAGACAAAAACCTTGTACCACAATAATTTCAATTTGACACTTTTCGAGGGCTATAAATGTTATACGTTATATGAAATAACTCCAAAGAAACAGTTCTTATGGGAGCAGGGAAAAACAAACTTCAAAAGCTTCAAATTTCATAAAACAGCGCTCAAAATTTAAAAAATCCTGAGGTCGCCTTCTGGTGACCAACTGAAGAAATATAGTCACCAGATGCAAATTTTTAGTCGCCAGTAATTGTATAATGTAAATGACGCAGCTCATAATATGGTGCAATCTATCAGATTTGATTGTTTGAAAATATCACGGACAGAAGTCAGTATAAATTTGGATGTAAACTGGCTTTGTGTATGCAATTTGGCACATTTTTTTATGACGAAAGCAAAGCAAGTTAAGTATGAAATGTTTGTTTAACTTTAATCTTTTACTTTAAATCTAAATCAAAGAAAAATCCGGTTGCTAAAGTGGCGACTAAACCAGAATTTTTAGTTGCCAAGGAGAAAATGTTAGTCGCATTGGCGACCATATTAGTTGCAATTTTGAGCTCAGCTAAGGCTGCATTCATTATGTATACAGCAGGGGGGAGGGGCGGGCAGAGGATATTTTTTAAATGGGCAAAATTTTTTAAAATCTCCCCCATATCATACAGAATTTTTTCACAGCCCCCCTTTCACAGCCCCCCTTTTGACCAAAAGAAAGAATGGGCACCCCGCCCCTCCACTGCCCAGTCTTGACAAGGACAGAAGAGGATATAAAGGTACAAGCACTCTACTTTTTTGAGGCCCAAATTCCATCTCAAAGCACTTCGGCAACTGAGGGGACTGACTATCTTTAGTGGGGATTCTCTTGAACATGTAGATTCAGCTATTCATTATTTAGAGAAGCAAAGTGTTGTTGATGTTCATGTTGATGATGTTAAGTAACATTCGTCAGCACTGACACATTATTCAAGTTATTTATGCTATTTGAGCCATCAAGCACTTTAAGGCATTCCCATGTTAACTTGTTTGCAAAGGAATACTAATTATAAAATACTTTGTATGCCTGTTATGTTAGTTTGTGGAGCTCTATTTCAGTCCATTTATTAGTCTTTGTTTTTTAGTAAGTGGAGGAAAAAAAATTAGCAATCCCCCCTTCATCTGTCAAAAAATCCTCCCCCCTCCCCCTTGCAGTATACATAATGAATGCAGCCTAAAGAATCTTATGCATGATGATTTTGCCTGTGTTTCTCAATTCCTGTGAAATTTGAAATTTGTTTTCTCGGGCTCCCTAAGAATCTTTTCTTTGGAGTTATTTCGTATAACTTATTACATTTATAGCCCTTGAAAAGTGTATAAAAGAATGCAATATGACTTAATATATCCTGGTACATGTACATGGTTTTTGTCCACTGCAACTTAAAATTACCCAATTTCCTAATGGGTTCTGTCTTAATTTCCTGGGGCTATTTTTTTTTTAGCAAAAGTTCTCTTATGCATCAGTGATTAAGAAATAATGTGTGGTTATGTGTGGCCCATAATCATCAGGCTTCTTACATCTTAATATAAAAGGTTCTTATATTCTCCCTTCCCTTACTTTCATTATTAATAAAAAGTTTTGTTGCATAATGCTCGGTCGTTAGTTAAGTAGTTTCTTAAGGCTGCCCGATCTTCAAAGTGGTGAAACCCTGGAAAGTGCATTTTTTTTTTATCTGATCATATTTGCAAGGTGGCTGCTTTTTAATACCCCTGTCTTAGATTTGACGCCATAACAAAGAAATTGTTTAAGACTTGTGAAAAATTCTTAACAGATTCTGTATGCCTCAAAGAGTGCCAGAAAAAGCTGCGATCCCTTTATGAAACCAAAAACAGAGTCAAAATCGTTCCATGGGAACAAACCTCTGCTGTTGATATTAACAAGATCTACACAGACTTGTCTTGGGTCATGGATGACAGGACACCCAGGGGAGTGGCAAAAGAAAAACTTAACCACTACACTGAGATTTTTGTCCGCAGAGAACCTCATCCTGCACCAAAGCGAATTTTGGTTTATGGACAGCCAGGTAAGTGAGGAAGTGAAGTAAGCTAGCATGCAGGGTCTTTATTTAACCGAAGAGTGACCACATAATAGCCGGCAAAGCTAACAAATGAGTGGCTCTCATTACACAAAAACAAGAAAAATGGTAACCAGCAAAATAAATCCATACAGGATGTGGGAGAACACAGTCTGTATTAAGCTTGTGTCATGTGTAGGCTTTTTGAGTGTTTTGCCAAATCCAATTCAAGTGGGTTAATTTATTATTGTTGCCAAAACCAATGGGAATTTTTTTCTTTTGCTTTAGTGGATAAATTAAACTGAAAGAGGAAACAAAGTTTTTCTGTTTTCTTTGAGGCTACCAGTTAAATTTGAAACAATTTATCTGGTTATAGAGCAATCAGATATTATGTTGTGGCTCAATTTTATCTGTAAGTTTCATTTTGTAAAATGTACAATAAAAAACTAACAAATAAAAATAAAAATTGATCCAAGGAAAAATTAAACTACACCCTTTACTATATTGTTCAGTGTTAGTTTGATGTCAGTAATTATTACAGCACTCACAAGCCACAGGTGAGAGTTTGCTGTAACTAACTGCAGACTTTACTGATACAACACTGCCATGGAAATTATTACATATTGTACATCCAAATATTCTTTTTTTTGCGGGTTACTTTAGCCCGAGCTGAATCAAAGGAAGAGTTACATATTTAGCGATTCATTAAAAATTCGTTTCTTTTGTCTTTTTCTTTCATATTTATCTTCATATTTATGAGTAATTTTAAACTACTCATTAAATACCTTTCTTTTAATAACATACGCTGTAGTTCCATTGTATTGTTACTTCGAATTAAATTTTCCTTTGTTACAAACCCACTTATCACATTACTATGCACTCAAAAGCAATGGAGGAGAAACTCTGAATCAATAATTAAATTTAATCACCACATACTCTGGATATAAAAGTGACATCAACAGCGATGAATATAACTATAATCTTGTTATGATAATAAGATTGCAGTTCTTTAGACAAAGCTAAGAATTCCAAAATATATGCTCTCTTTTGAAGGCAAAAAACAATCTTTTTGGATTAACTTATATTAGGTGAAACCAAATTAAAGACCCTCCATGAAAAACAGACTAATATAAGGCCATCCCCATAAAATGTTTCGTTTCCCATCACCCTCCCTCTCGTGAAGGTGGGTCGGTCGGTCGGGTAAAAAAAAAGAAGAAAAAAGAATGAACACATGATTGCATATTAAATCTCACGTTTAGTCTGCAAGATATAATCAGATGGTAAAAGATGTATATTAACAGGACTATCAAATGTCTAAAAAGGCTACAAAAACGAAGTATCGATAGTAGTATAGGGCGCACCGGTTAGGCCTCTTTTTTGGGGGGGAATCTCATTAAGGTGGGGGGAATAAATTAACGTCGCTGACGTCATAACCTTTTGTCTTGATCTCACGAATAAAATGCGCAGGAATCTCATAAAGATAAGGTCATGTGCTATTTTTAGATGGATGATGTCATGGTTGGTATAACCGGTTTGACAGGTTTTAGTTATTTTCGGAAGATGATGTCATATGTATTGCGTGGTACTATGATGTCATAGTTGTTTTGTTTGGTTGGCCGGAATTAGAAAGACGCTCATTGGCTGTCTCGTTTGACGAAGCATTCTGGTTGGTTGCCGTATTTTTTATTGTTTGAACGGCATAACAGCCTGCTCACTGCCAAGCGCATTCTAATTTGGATTTCCTGCATACTAATTAAGTGTCGTCCTGCATACTAATTCGGTATAGGTTTACTAATGAGCGTTTCTCTACTACAATAGGAACAATAAGCTTGCCTAGACTTGCCCGGTAAGTAACTTAATTAAAAGGAAAATAAGAGCAATCACCTAGCAACACGAGAAACAGCTTCCTATATCTTATTTAGCGCTAAAACTCGGATATATATAAACAAGACATACACAAAGGGGAGCTGAAACGCTTTATTTCAAGTTTGTTTTATCTCGAGGAAATGAAAAACTATTGAAGTCTTGTCATTTTCACGCGTCGTTAGTTAGGTAATTATGCGAGTTCACAAGCCCAAAGTTGAATACAAATTAGCTCTACAGGAAAAACCTCGAGGGAGCAACCTTGACGTATTATTATAAAACAAATAACTTAACAAGGATCAATTAAAACACGCGACTCATAATTGCTAGCAATAAAACGAGACAAGAGAGATACCGTTTTAAAAAACTTTATTAAAAACAAAAAGAGTCAAATACACAGCGATTTGGAAGGAATGGAAATTAGACCTCCTCTTCGTTCTCCTCTTTAATTTAGAGGGTGAATAAAAATTGGTTTCCAACGTCTTGGCGTTTTTGTGTGTAATTAATCCACAATCGTGACACCGAAGAAAGCCCTCTTTGATATATTTTCTCTCCTCGGGGATCTGGTGATCGCATATAGGACAAATCTTGTAGTTATCGTGCCAAAAGCATTTAGGACATTTCATGATCAATGTGAAGTACACATTAGAGTTTTCGCAATGTTCACAGGGACTTTTAGAGTGAAAGGCGGTGGACGTTTCAGGGCTACTACTTTCTATTTCCTGACTGTCGTTTTCAGTGTCGTTGTCGCTCTCTTGGGTGTCTTCCGCTTCAACGCCATTCTCAGAAGCCACTTCTTCCTCCTCCTCCTCCTGATTTTCAATATCCGATGAACTCTCCTCATTATTACTGTCATTATCGGAAGTATTTTCTACATTTCGATAGCGTTTTTCCTTTTCTATTAAATCACTTAACAACTTTTTGTTCTTGATTAAACCTTTATCGATTTTTAACTCTGCAAGTCCATCTAGAAACGTATTCAGCGCACGAGGCTTGGTAACCTCATGGTTATGAGGGAGTAACACATACTCAACTAGCTCGGCGATGTTTGTGACGGGAATAGTGCGTTTATTTCGAAGTAATTGTCCGCTGGGAGTCCAAAAGAGAATATCTTTCGACGCGGCCATACTATGCAGCAAATCAGAAGCACGCTTTTCCGACACTGCTCGGGAAAGATGACTCAAAACATCTTTTATTCTTGGTTCTTCTTTTATTCTTGGTTCTTCATCCTCGCTTTCATCACCAGAACTTTCGCTTTCTTCATGTTCACTCTCGTGTTCTTCTTCAACCAAATCTATCTTTCTCTTCATTTTGATGAGTACCCGTGACAGACCGTAGCTTCAAATGAGTAACATATAGTTTCGTTTCCTCTTTTATAGCATCAAAAATCCTAGACTTGTAACAGCAGGTACCAATAGGTCTTGAATAAACCATCACCCTCTTGTACAAGGATTCGCTTCTTTGTTTTGTAAGGGACATTTGTTTCTGCTAGGTTTACTAGAGCATCCTTATATGGCAACACGTTCCGCTTATTTTCTTCGGGGATAAGAATGTATTCCTTAAGTATATTGCATAAGACTTGGACTAATGCATGTAGTTGTTGTGGACTGGCTGTCCGTAAAAGAAACTGTCGCTGACGAGCAGGGCAATCAGCTAACAGCTGAAGAAAACCACGATTTATGTTCACTACCAGGAGCCCATAACCCGGAGCGTCTAACTTCCATACTGCGCCTATGCAACGGCGTTTTCACAAGTAGGTTTATTTTTAGATAAGCTTTTCCCGCGAATTGCTTTCGAAAAGCCAATCAATGCGTCATCAATGATAAACTTTTAATACGTAACTAAGACAACTCCTTCACATTGAAAAAAACATGGCGGACACACGCGAGGAATCTTCAGAGGAGTCTTGTGACAGTACTTCAAACGACAATTTCAGTATTTACACGGAAACTAGCAGTTCAGAAGAAGATTTGCAAAACCTGGCCAGGACGTCTACTTCATCGACGACAACTCAAAATTCACGCAAATTCCCTTTAAAAATCGAAATCGTCTTCGAAATAGCCGACTGTGAAAAGGTCCAAGCGAGCTACTAACAGTCTAAACGATGATCAAATGCAGGAATTGACCTCGTGGAACAGTTATTTTTCGCGGAAAAAGCTTATCTAAAAATAAACTCACTTGTAAAAATGCTGTTGCACGAATTTATGGCAGTTGAACGCTCCAACCAGTTGAACGCTCCAACCAATCAAAACAACTATGACATCATAGTACCACGGAATACATATGACATCATCTTCCGAAAATAACTAAAACCTGTCAAACCGGTTATACCAACCATGACTTCATCCATCTAAAAATAGCACATGACCTTATCTTTATGAGATTCCTGCGCATTTTATTCGTGAGATCAAGACAAAAGGTTATGACGTCAGCGACGTTAATTTATTCCCCCCCCCACCTTAATGAGATTCCCCCCCAAAAAAGAGGCCTAACCGGTGCGCCCTATACTACTATCGATGATAATTTAAGACAACTGGTGTTAATAAGACAAGATCGTGTGCTTATAAATTAAAGTACTCGCTTCTTTACAAGTGATTCTGGAATTTTTTTTTTACTTTTCCAAAAAAATGGGTCGGTCGGGCGATGGGAAACAAAACATTTTATGGGGATGGCCTAAGCGCATTTTAAAGAAAAAGTTAAAAAATTCAGAAAATTCCGTTGAATAATTTGACACTTCTGTCAAAAGTCTTCTTAAAACTGTAGAAAATTTAAATAGTTTAGATTCAAGAAGTCCTCACAATTTAGTTCATGTTGCCTCCTAGGTATCGGCAAGACTGTTTTTACGCAGAAAGTCACTTTCGACTGGTCCCAGCAGAAATTTCCACGAACATTAGGAGCGTTTGATCTTGTTCTTCTGGTAAGATTACGGGACGTTTCTAATCTCCGAGATGTTCCGTCTATATTGGCGGCTTCAAGAGCGCTGGCTAGTGATGGCACAGTTTCTGTCGACAACCTTTATAACTACGTTCGCCGCCATCAAGAAAAAGTCTTGCTTATCTTGGATGGTTACGATGAGTATGTTTACACTGCTGGAAACCAATCGCCTGTCCTTGACATCTGGAATGAAAACCAGTTAAGCAATTGCTGTGTTGTAATAACTTCAAGGGAAATGAAAGCTGAGACGTTGAGAAGTTCTGGTGATGCTGTTTTCAAGATAGACGGCTTCAATGATCGGCGCCAAGAAGAGTACGCTGGTAGATTTTTAAAAGATGGTGAAGATGTTAAAAATTTTTTCAACTACCTGGAGCAGCAAGACCTAAGAAAACTAGCACAAATTCCTCTTCTTCTTCTAATTATGTGTCTACTCTGGAAGGGGAAAGATCGCAACGCACTGCCAAAGAAACGCGCAGATATCTTCACTCAATTCGTGAAGACTTTGTTTCATCACATGCGTGAAAAACAGTCTGTTGAATCGGTGTTTAACATTGAGGATTACTCAGATGAATTATATGCATTAGGGCACTCGGCCTTTGAAGCTCTCATCAATGATTGCCTGTATATCCCGAGAAGTCAATTACCTAACTACGATCTGATCGAGAGGTTTATTGAAGTGGGCCTTTTTCAAGTTTTAAATACTTCAAGTTTGAATCCTGAAAAAGGTGTGTATTTCATTCATAAATCCGTACAAGAATACTTCGCGGGATGTTTTCTGAAAGAGGAGCTGATATTATCTAAAAAGAATAAAATTACAAATTCCCTGTCAAAGCTGGACTCGGTTGAAAAGATCCTCAAAATGAATGAAGTGTTAAAATTTGCTATTGAGCTGTCAGAAGAAGCCGCGCGCGAGATTGTGATTCACCTGATGAAAATGGCGGGGAACGAAGAAGAACTGACGAAGTACACCTTCGACAGCGAAGCACCGTCACACTGGGATTTTTCAGAAGACCAAAGAAATTTTCTAACACTCTCCACAGAGTTGTTTTTCTACTGTTCAGCTGAGACAAAAAGAAACCTCTTTCCTACATTTCTTTCCTCTTTCAGAGGAGTTCTTTTAATTGAAGCAGACCAGCTAAATGATCTTGTGAAAGAAAAGTTAGTTAAAACTACCGTAAACGTAAATTACGTTTTTTTCACTGATAACAAAAAGTATACAGAGCAAGACTATAAAAACTTAACAATGTTATCTGAACAATTAAAGGCTTTCATTGTTAGTCGTTCAGGAGAAAAGAAAGCATCAGAATTTTTGAGCAACTTTACGTGGCGTCGAGTTTGTGAATTTTTCCTAAAGAAAGAAGAAAACAACACCCACCTGTATTTTGCGCTAATTAAAATAGATAGAATTAGAGGCATTCCATTTCTTCTTTCGGATATGATTAAGGCGCTAATAAGTAAACAAGAGACAACAAAGAAGACAAACATGAATGGTGATGAGTCAAGTGAAGAGAGCAGCAGCAGCTGTTGTTCAAAGCGTCATGGTCTCTCCAGGGTTTGGAGGATTGATGCTTTTCGTGTGAACAGGTCAGATGTGGAACAGCTGATTGAGATGATGCCGTTTATCACCGCTCCACGCGAGATATCGATTTGGGGTGAATACGGTGAAGAGTACGATGCTGAGTCTCTACTGAGGAGCATTCAACCAACACAGAAACTGAAGACATTATCACTCCATGGTATCAATGTAACATCATCACCTGCTGTGGAGTTCATCGACAGAGTATTTCAAGATCTTCCAAACTTGGAGTTGCTCAACATGTCAGACAATCCTCTTCCAGGTGCAGGAGTAGACAGCTTGATTAAACATCTCAGCTGCGCTCCTCACCTGAAGGAACTGAACCTTGAAGGAGTGAAAATGACTCCACAGCAGGTGATGGATCTGTCATCAGCCATCAAGCAGCACGGAAACAACACTGTACTGGTGTCATACTACCACGTAAGTTTTCCAATTTTATCGCAATTTGTTTCTTTATTCTTTGTTTACAGTTTATTTTTACTCAGCTCTTGCCTTTCGCCATTTTCTTTCTTTGTCATTTTTATACTCGACAAAACACGAGATTTACTTTTGAACACAAATCACAAACTTTAACAGATTCAAAGTATCATTTCAGATTCATTCCTTTCAATTGATTAAACTAAATCCAAAACAATATTTTAACCGAGAACAAGTAAATTAATCTGAAGGTGTCTGCACTGTGCAAAATAATGGATCAGCGAGCAGATATGAAATTTCTCTTCGAGTCTGGTTCAACTCGATGTGAGTTCACTTATAACAAACACTGTGCAACATAACAGAACACAAGAATTCCACAATATTATAAATTTCGGAATCAATTTTAATTCATTACTTTTGATAAAATGATGAACAACAAGCATAAAGTCAAAATATGTTCAGTTCATCTTCAATTCAGACAAATAATTTGCAAAGTAAGAGAAAGAAAGGTTAACTTACAGTTTCACTTTTATCGCTAAGGTTTCCTAAAATCAGTCAAACTCAAGAAAAGTTTGTTTGAGAGTCCAGAAAACGAAGAAGTCTTTTCAGAGCCTGGTGTCCCTTTCTTTGAGTGTTCTTGCGTGTCCTGTCATAAATGACCTCGATCGCTCAGTAGCGTAGGTTTTTTTAGATAACTTTCCACAAAACAGACAATTCCTCTGGGGTGTCTGTAAAATGCGGACCGGATACCTGCGGATGGCGGATGCGATGGGAAAAAGCGGATAGAAAAATGCGGATAGGAAAAATGCGGATAGAAAACAAAAAAAAAAGAGAAAAAATTGCGGCGTCCAATGACAACAACAAAAAAATGTCGCTAATTTGGACATATAAATTGCGTTTCTAAAGCATGTTCTTGTCTATAATAAAAAATAGTTTGGTACCCATCATCGGGGAGCAAAGCACGTATGTAAAGTTGTTGGGACAACTTTTGTTATTTGAAGGAAGAAAGACGAAACTTCCATAAATAAAAAAGAAACTGGAGAAAATAAGACAAAATAAACCAAAAAATTAAAAAGTGCGTTCCTTGGCCTATTTCGCGCCCGCCTCGTAAATCGTCCTGTTTCCTCACAATACAAATCAACGCAACGCTAACATTCATGTAACGCTGATGGACTCTACCATGGAAGAAAGTTCAGAGAGTGATGTCTGATTTGCCCTTTTGAGATCAAAAGGTGAAGTACTCTTACACTAACGGTTTTCTTTTTCATTTTGGCGATATCTTTGTGTTTAAAGGACTTGTTAACTTTGTTAAAGAACAAAAATTTTGAAGTTAAAAAAAGGTTTAACTTAAAAAGTGAACTACAACTATCAATTTTCAATTTATAGCAAGACATGTTTTGATCGATCTACGATGGGGTTCTACGATCATCTCCACATGCAAGTAATACAGCATGGGATTGTTAATTCAAATCACATACTGTACTACTTGTAACTGATGATCGTAGATCGATCGAAATATGTCTTGTTCTAAATTGAAAGTTGTGGTTCATTTTTTAAGGATTTTTGTTTGCCTGCGACACTGTACATTCCAGACCGTTTGAATAGTTTTAATCGTTTTGTAAGCACAAATTAAGGATAAAGTTACAGCAGGCATTACTGGTGTTTACTGGTTTCTGATTACAGTGTTTGGATTTTGGTATCACACTTAGGCTATATTTCCCTGGGAAAACTCTTGTTAACTATTTACCTAGTTTTTTACCAAAGTTTTTTGTAAGTTTACCTCTTTATCTATTATTATAAGTAATAACACTGCTGTTGTAACTACGCAGTTCAGTCTTTGCGCCGATCTTTGTTTTATTGTTTATATATCACATGGGCAGATACTTTTCCCACCATGTTTTTGCTTGTCTCCATTTTTTTTGTCGCAACACACTTCTTACCCATATGTTCCACACTCGTTAGTTATATATCTTGTTGCACGCTCAAATGTCCAGGAATAGCTTAGACTATAAAAAGTTGTAACTGAAGCTTGAACTGTAAAGAACTTGTTTGTCAGTGTGAACTGTGCTAGTCCCCGCCAAGTTCTACTTTGGCAATTTTTTTTATGCTCCTTTTCCCTAGATTCGAATAACCATAACAACGGGTGAATTCCTTTTTAATTACTGCCTTAATCACAATATGAAGGGGGGAAAAGGAACGAAAAACGACAAAAAAGCGTCGTCGGAGGCAGACTGATGTAATTGAGAGAAGGCCCAATCTTCTCTCACCCCAAAAACACATAACTGTTGACTGGGTACGAGACTGTATTGACAACGCGTTCTGTACATGAATGTGCTGCTGTTCTTTCCTTTTTTTGTTTATTTTTGCCATCTACATTTTCTCCTTTTGTTCTTCTTAATTTTTTTTCTATCTGCATTTTTCTATCCGCACTTTCCTATCTGCATTTTCCCATCCGCCATCCGCAGGTATCCGGTCCGCGTTTTACAGACACCCATTCCTCTGAGACACTTTTGTTCAAATTTAACGCCATACATTTTATCGTAGGTAATTGTAGTCCACTATGGTATGAACTGTCAAATTTTGTCCGCGACAGGTTTTTCCAGCTTGACGACAAACACTATGGCGTTAGCGAATCCTGCGTCGCTTTGTGTCTTCAATTCATAAGTTTTTTTTTCCTGCTAGCCTCCCCAAATCCTTTGACAAATTCTGCAAATTCCAGAGTAAATAAGCCGAATCTTTCTCTCACTGACGTTTTACGTTGTTTTCTAATTCTTTTTAGTCCATCTTGAGCATTTTTGCGTTAAATGTTTTCGTTGAAGAACAAACTCAACTAAAGTGAACAACAAACTACAAAATCAACAAACTGTCATTCAAAGTGGCGTGAGAGAAGGCTAGTGACGTGGACACAGCTGATTGGTTAAATTTAAACACATGAAATGTTCCTGACAATCAAGATATGCCACGTGTAGCATTTTCCCGCCTTTTGTTTGAGCAAAAAGCCAGCGTTCGCGCCTTCCTGCATTTTTGTATTTTTTGGTCGGTGCCTCTGACCCTAAAATACCCTAGGTGACAGAGGGTTTTTTTCC